ACACAGAATGTGGGGGCGATCCAGGTATTAAAGGCAGCGGGACAGGTGCAGTCACTTAGTCGTCTGACTAGGGGAGGTGTGGGATGTGTCAGTAACTTTCCGAAAATATATAGTGGGTTTTATTAACATTGAACATCATTAGGGTGACAAAATTTCACAATAACAATACATATACAGTGCTTGAAAGGATACAAACCAAAGTTGCTGTGTCTTACAGGGCTGAGGTAGAACTACAATTGGCACCAGAATTTGGGTTGCAGGCTCCTATGGCCTAGGAGCTATTGAAAAAAAAAGGCTAATTTTAGAGAAAAAAAAATCATATCAAGTACAGAAAGGGTTAAACTTGAATGAAAGTTGCTGTGTCCTATAGGCCTAAGGTAGTACTACAATTGGTACTAGGTTTTGGGTCACAGACTCCTACGGCCTAGAAGCTATTGAAAGAAAAGGCCTAATTTTAGAAGAAAAAAATCATATCAATTAAACAAAGGGTTAAAATCAAATGAAAGTTGCTGTGTCCTATAGGCCAAAGGTAGTACTACAATTGGTACTAGGTTTTGGGTCGCAGGCTCCTACGGCCTAAGAGCTATTGAAAGAAATCTATCTACAAACTTTTTCCTTTTACAATGCAATAAAATGTTAAAAAGCAGTAAAGTTCACTGTGTCCTGTGTATGTCAGGTAGTTATAGAATATGCACTCATTTTGGAGTTACTGGGTCCCATTGCATTGAAGTTATTGCAAGCAATCAGTATTTTATTTTTCTGACAGTAATTCGTTGACGGTCCCTAAATCAGCGGTGCGCGAGCGCTTCCGAGGCTGTGGAATTGATATGGCCGTCTTTCGACCGCCTTATGCCGGCTAGCGTGAGTGATGCCCCGCCGCTAAGTCTGGAGAGTGTGGATCTGAATATCCGTCGAATATCCAACCTAAAACTGATTTCACCTCAGTCTGTTACACTATTTTCGCTGAGAGCTGCTTACCGCACGCGCGATACACAGACGCCACTCCGACTCTACAGTTGAAGCGCCGTTGCGGCGATGCTTCGTCTGTGTAATTCTCTGTGCAATAGACTGGCATCTCATCCAGGTAGTTCCCCAGCCTTATATCCTGTGATATAGCCCACTCTCCCATGACCATCAACGGGAATATAGATGAATGGATATTCGGGATTTTATTATCTTGCTTATGTGGTATATTGCTACATCTGCCTTGTCAGATAAGTGGACTTTTTAAACAATACATTTTGTCTCTTGCATTTATATCATTAGTGTAGTTCCAGAGAGAACCAATAGATGGCGATATCGTACAGCAATTTGATCTAAAGTGCCCTCCAGCAATGGGCGCTAAGACCGAACTTCATTGATTGCTAGGGGGAAAATTATTGTTATCTGGCACCAGCAATAATATGATCATAAGAGTGCATAGCTGAAGCTGTTTCTCAAGTGCACTAACTGCACAAGCTAACTGAGGAGTTCTAAGAACAGATGGTCTTGAGACATTTTTGAAGGTTTGGAGAAACTCTTTTGACCGGATGTGGACAGGAAGCTCTTTCCAAGACTGAGGAGCAGCATAAGAAGCATTTAGGCTTAGGCTTACTTTCACATGGTGGAGAGATGACCAGATGCTGTTGGTTTGCTGGTGAAAGAGGTAAAAATAGAACATAAGCCTTTGCCATAGGTGTTTTCCTCAACTCATTCTTTCGGATGGATGTCTTCAAACCTGCAGGAACCTGCCTAAAAAAACATAGGCAGGAGCATATCTCCCAAAGCAATGACATCAACATCACATGGTGCTGCTGGCATTCTCTTATATATGTATATTTAAAGCAGTCCAGGCCCAATTTTTACCCCCTAATTGGTGGGATGGAGCATGCTTTGAAGTTTCTGCATGGAAACTTCTTATTGGATGTACACACTACCAATTATAGACAGAGCGTCCTCTCTGACATCATCAAGTTAAGGGTCTGACTGACATTCGGTAACACAACCACTCCATAATAACAGTGCAGTGTTTTCTGGGGTGGACTTTCTGCAGTGATAATGTGGGTTCTTTTCATTTAACATTTTATAGAGATATCCTGGATTTTTCATGACTTTGTCAGAGCTATACAAGTCTAGTTGTTAGCTTGGCCCACTGCTATACTGTACATGTCACGGCATTTACCAGATTTTTCTCAGAGCAAAATTAATATTGCATCAGAATAACGTACAAGTTGCCCATCCCATGTTCGGTAGCAAGTTGGTTGGGTGCGGTTTTCCTTGTTAGATTCTCTTGGCAGAATATCTAAGCGTTAGGTAATTTTGAATCAGCTGTCAATCACACTAAAATAATACAGTACATATCCCAACATTTCATTATCAAACAAGGACAATATTCACAGTTGAGCAGCTGTAAAGACTGGTAAAAAAACCTTACTCTTCCATTTTTCTTTATGTTTATTCAAAGACCTTCTTATTAAAACAAATCTTTACCGGTAAACATTATTGTGAAGTAGGAGAAGAAAAGTAAGGAAGCCAATGAAGTTGTACTTGAATTTTGGGATGTGCAGCGAATACTCCTAACCATGAGCTGGTGGCTCAGCTTACACTAGGAATATGATATCTCATCACTATATACTCTCAGGTGTCATATATACCTGGTTTTCTGATTAACACAGATTAACACAGACTACACATTTTCTAACATTCACTGTATTGTTTGAATATGAAGTACTACCCGTTTCAGAATGGCTTTCCTCCTTTTATGTGTATGAAATCATGGCAGCATGACCATCTGTTTCAACAGTTTCAACTGTTTAAGACCACTGAAAGTTAAATGAATAGCAAAGATTTTAGGTTTTCTGCACAATATTTCCTTCTCATAAAGAGAAATTGAATTTTTTGTCAAATGTCCTCTGCACAAGTTCTGACGTGTTCAAAGCTTCTGTCAATGTCACAGAGCAGCGGTAGGCAGCCCTGATACTGGAGTGCCGGTATCCAGTGGGTTTCCTATCCTACCTGATGAGACACTATCTGCCTGAGATCAGGTGAGGTTCAGCAGAGACCAGGTAGGATAGAAAACCTGCTGGATACCAACACTCCAGGATCAGGGTTGCCGACCCCTGCTGTAGCGGGTAAGCCAGTACAGTAGTTTGCAGCTAGCTGATACGGGTTTGTATTATTTACTCTGTCACTCCTTCTAATTTCCATTTGATATCCATCCATCCACCTGCTGTGGCTGCGTACCTGGTACAGGGTCAGGGAGAAGCTGGAGCCTATGCCAGGAAACACAGGCATGAGGCAGGGACCACCCCGGGTGGGATACTCGGCTGTCACAGGGCACACACTTACACACTATGGGCAATTCAGCGACCCCAAGTCCCCTCAGTGGGCTACAGAAGGGAGCTGGAGAGGAAACCTACATGAAAACAGGGACTCTGCATGCTTAGAGCTGGGGCACAATTCAGACCCACAACCCTGGAGGTGTGAGGTCACCGTGCTGCCCAAGGAGTCATCGCGGCCACCCCCCCCCCCCACCTTACATTTAAACATTCTCACTATCTCTCTATCAGAAACAAAAGGTTTTGACTGCTCTCCGGTGAAGTTGCCATGTCAACGAATCCAAAAGCTTGCACTGCAGCCAGAACCAGCATATGATAAATCCAGATTTCTCCATGTTGTTGATTTTACCACGAAACTGCCGTCCAGCTTGGAAACGGGGGGAGGCACATTTCAGGTGTGTGATGTAATGTTTTTAATTACTCATGCGTGCCGCGGAGAATGCCGTCTTTCTTCCCACCCCATTAAAGGTACTTGTTTTGCAGTTTATTTCTACTTTAACTTTTTTAAATTGCCGCCTTTATAAACCACCCCATTCTCAAAAATTCTAAACATTGAAATCCATGCTGCTCTTATTTCTTATATTACACTTCAGGCTTGTTGGACTGCAGTACAAAAGGTCATTTTTGTGGATAGCCTTTTTTTTTTAAATTAAGGTGCAAACAACAAGAACATCAGACATCCAATAATACAATTACAGGAACAGGACAAAAATCAGACAGTACTGGGAAAGGTGGGGAAAAATAACATAATAATAATAATAATAATAATAATAATAATAGTAGTAATAATAAAAATGCATACACCTTACAAATACATATGTATATTTATGAAAATAAGTGTCAAGTGAAGTGTAAAATAAATTAGCAAATGATTACACGGCAACACAAGATAAATAACCATAGTCCCTGTCTTGACATATGGATATCTGTATTACAGGCTTCTACTTTTTTAATCTAAGGATATATTCTTTAAAGTGTAATTATAACACATTATATGCTTAACATAGGAGCAAAAATAATAATTAAATTACACACATTAGGGGAAGGGGGGAACACATTTTCTATTGTGCTATTCAGCCAGTGTGGTGTCTGTACAGTATGTGAATGAATTAATTCCATTGTGTCAAAATGTGTGTTTTGTGTATGGTTAAAGAATTCTATTGTGATTTCCAGATTTCTGTAAAAATGACTATATTTTTCTTGTATGATGCAGTTTACGGATGCACATTTGAAGTGTAAGATTTGTTTAATGCAGAAGTTGGAACACTCACATCATCCCTCATATCTGATCCCTCTCGCAATTGTCTGCCTCAGTGAAATCATTGGAAGACTTACTGTCCATAAAATAAAGTGCAGAAAACTGTTGCGGTCGCAGCCAAAGATGTCACAATGTCGGTCGCAGCCAAAGATGTCACAATGTCGGTACAAGAATGTGATTGTTATTTTATGCAAGTAACTATGCGAAGTGATAGCAGTGGACAAGCACCATTAGCGCAAAAGAAGAATCAGAAGCAAAAAGAATCAGTGAAGTAAGCATTCTGTGCAGCTGGTAGGTGATCACAGTTCAAGTGGTCCTTTGTCATTTTCACAGGTGCATCTCTTACCTGGAACTGGCAACCCAGCCAGTACGGTGAATGACATCATAGGTTCTTCATGACTCTCATTTTTTCTCACAGAGATAAGAAGAATTTCTGGGAATGCAGGTGCGAAATTTCGCCAAAGGCGGGAGATGATTACATTACCCTCTGTTTCCGACCCCTCAGCCTCCTCTGCTTGATCCTACCTTGCAGATTTTACAGTGCTGTACGGGTGAGCCTTTTGGAACCAGTAATGTACAGCCTTATTCTGTGTCGAGTATAAACAGGGAAAGATCATTCAAGTATGAGAACTTGACAGCATAAATATGCTTTTGCAAATGTGCTGTTCATGGTGCTATTTATTACGACACCCGTTTTACGTTATTCCACGTTCGAATATTGGGTTGTTTTGCTTAGAAGCAAAATACGTGGACGGTTGACAAAAATGCTTTATTTGAGCAACTGTTTTCAGGATGTCAAGATGACAGCCAATGTTGCATTATAAAGTAAAGAGCAAAGTAACAGGGGTTAGGCATTTTCACAAAGCCCTTCGCTAGTCTCAAGACGAAATAACCCAGATGTGCAAGATCAGTATTGATACAGGCAGAGTTTATGAGCCTAATTTACTTTCAGCACTTTGTTTGCTCACAGTAAATCACGTTGTGTATTATTCAGTTCTTACACTAACCTGAAAATCACATGTTCGTGCAATTTGAAGGTGGGGAGGACAGAGACAGAAAGACTGAAATATGAACGATATCCACTCAGGTCTCTTCAGGCTGAAGCAAAGTTTCAAGTTCCAGAAAAAACAAAACATGCTCTCTATTTTTCAGTCTAAAGATACACACAAATGGGTGAGCTAATAAGAAGGGAATCTGAGCTTTGGCGAGAGTGTAACATTAGTGCTTACACAAACATGTCACTCTCAGATTCTCCTCATTTACCTAATTTAGGTTCATACAGATTTCTTAATATACCGTGATGTACTTGTTTGCTTGTGATGTGAGCTTTTTGAATCCATTCTGCATATGATATGCAAAATTACATTAACATTTATTAAGCCACATTCTAATAAAGAAATAAAATCTGATTGCAAATCTGCAAAATGTGGGGCAGAGTGTGGCTCAGCGGGCTAAGCCTGTGTGCCTGTAATCACAGGAGGCTGCCCTTCGTGGACAGCTTACTCTACAAAGAGCGAGATGAGGGAGGCATATGAACTGATCATTAAAATACTGATTATTATAAAAAAAAATAAAACTGCAGTTGTACAGCTCTATACACATTAGTTTTTTCCTTATAATGAAGTTAATGTTCATTTTGAGTTCCCTGAATATCATCAGTTATAGATTAGATTAGATTAGACTTTATTAATCCCACAATGGGGAAATTCTTTGAGAAAACAGCAGCAATAATGAAAAAAGACAGTACAAAAAAAGGACAGGATCCATAGATACAAGTAAAAAAAATACTTATCTGATAACAATATCAATAATTAAGCATCCATTCAGCTTTAAAGTCTTCAGAAACACAAATTACCAACTCTATCCCAACACCAAGTAAAAACAATAGTAATAACTTATTTTATAGAAACTTTGAGGAGACAGTTTGTGGAGATAATGATTGCCTTCGCCTTACAAATTTTACCGTCTCTACTAAACTCTATAGACATAAACTCTATTTATGTCTTTCCAGCACTGCATGTTTTCAACAAAAAGGCTATTATTCATTACACAGGAACACGGCATGAGATTAATCTCAGTACACATAGATTGTGGAATCTTGTGGAAGTAATTAGTAGCATTTTTATGCACAAATGTTTGGTTCAGACTGGAATATGGCGTGAGTGACACATGGGAACCTTGTTTTGATGGCGTATTTCAAAGCAGCACTGAATATCTGGTATAAATTTGTGAGGAGAATCAGTATGACCTAGAAAGGACATGCTTGGCGGCTCGGTGTCCAAAAAAGTAGTAGGTGCACTGCATGAACACTCTCCAGAATGCAGTGCCAGAACTGGCACCTGTTAAATGCATTCATAAGAAATAAATCATTACCAACAGATCGACAGTGGTGCAGTCCACATCAGTGTATAAAAACAGTGCACTGCAGATTTGAGTATTGGTATAAAACTTTAATTGCATTCCTAAAAGTTTAATGATTTTCTAATATTTGACTATTTGACAATAAATACTGGACTTCAGTATGTCAGTAAGAGTCCAGATTATTAAACTGAGCTGCTCAGATACACATTTACTGTAAGTAGATCCTGTTACTGGGAATTATAATGCATCTATGACCCCCCTCCCCATTTTCATGAATATTTATTCAGGAATTGATTAATGGGGTAAATGAAGCACCTCCCTTAGCCTTACATTATAGGGTGCGAGGGGGCTGCAGTTGTTCCTAGAGATGTTCTTCTGGACTGATTGCAGTCATGGCTTGTTGTCTGTGTCAGTGAAATGTAGCTTCTTGAAGCCTGTGCGGATGTGAACGTACACCAGGGGTGAATGAAGCAAATATTTAACGTCTTTAGCATGTGTTTAGGGGGCACCTGGTTCAAATCATTCACAGGCTCTTAGCGTCTGAGTTGCTGTATGCTAGTGTATGTTTCTCTAAATTTCTGTGCATGTAAAACATGCTTTGAACCACTTTTGTCAACTTTTTTGTAAAAACAGCACAAAAAGTAGGACTATTTCCCTGCTGCAAATCACTTAAACAGTTTTAAACACTCTTCAAGTCTTTTTTACCCACCCTACCCCCCTTATCCTGCATCATTTTAAGCTTTTTTTTTACAGCATTTCCAACTGAGCTGTGTTTCTTTTGACGGTGTACTTGTATGTCGTCTTTTACGACTGAAAAAAGAAAGTAAAAAAAAAAAACAGGACTGTAAAACGGAGCTGTGGTTCGGGGGTAGGTTGCGTTGTTGATGCTTAAGGCATTACCTCATTCCCAGGCTGCACTCGCAGACGATTGGTCTGGTTTGCGTTTGCTTCTCGGTCACCTCCTTATCTGAGCAGCCACCCTAATTTGCGGAGATCCTTTGACATGTGAACTTTAAAGCCCTTTTGTTATACCAGTCCTTTCTGCACATGCTCTGACAGGAACTGGTGACTTCACTGCTGTTTTTAACGAAAATCTGCTCTCTCCCTCCCTCTCTCTCTCTCCCTCCCTCTCTCTCTCTCTCTCTCTCTCTTCCTGTCCTCCCAGACAGCCCGACGGCCGCTCTCCTCTCGCCTTCACTCCCTGCTTATCAGCCTGGATAGAGGCAAATTAGTGGCGACTCAGTTGCTGGGGAGGAGTGTGTGGCGTGCCTGTTCCTCGCGTCATTTGCTTGTGCCACCCCATCTGGGCCCACGTCTACGTGTGTGGGGCAGTGAGGGGTGTGGTCAGCCAGCCCTGCATCCTCAGCATTCTGAAATTGGACAAAACTACCTGGAAAACTGGGTCTCCATCACGTTCGACTCAGACAGCTGCTTCTTTTCATTGCTCTTTCATCCTCTCTCATGTCAGGGAGAGAGAAGACCCTTTTTGGTGGTTATTTCTGCACTGAAGTTTATTGACTCCTGTCGTTAGGAACCTGCGACTCAGCCATGTCAGAGAGTGTGGTGAGGAAAATTCAGCCTTTCACGATCGGGACCAGGCTGTCTGTCCCCACCGCACCCAAATGCCCCGATTTGATGGCCGCCTTCTTACCAAGCCGGGTGCTGGACACCTGTAAGGCAGGGACCAGCACCGACCAGGTGTCCTTTGGCACCGACTGTCCTCAGGTGCACGTCGCCCAGGTGGCTGAGGAGGAGAGCGTGCAGGAGGAGGTGCCCACAGATGATGGCCTCAGCAGTGGAGCGCTACCACAAAGCAGTGCATCACGGTCCATCAAGAAGATACACATCTCTGGGAGCACTAAACCCACTGGGGATGCGGACGTCCAGTCCAAGCAGTGTCCTACAGCAGAGACCTCCGGCCCTGAGGACAGCTACGAGGGAGTCTGCAGCCTCTTACCCAAGATCACAGAGGCCAGCTGTGAGAATAGATCAGATCCCCCCTTTAAGGTACGACCTATATCAATCATTAATATTTTTGTTTAATACCATATCTCATTGACATTATGCATGTATTAACAAAACGGACGTTACAATTAACAGGTTTTTGTTGTTGCGTAAAAGAAGCCTCATGTAAGTTGATTTTTTTTTTCAGTTTGCAATAATGACAACTGCAAACTTTACTAAGCCCTGTACATGATTGCATTTTATTTAATGATGAGGCCTCTGCTTTCCTTGTGCTTCCTGCGCACTTACACTGACCACAGAGATGAATGATATACAAAGGCAAAAAGATACCTTTTGGATGGCGTAACGTGGTATTCCCTGTACACTGGCGTCCTGCTCGCCGAGTGATGTCTTATGGAAACAATGACTGGAAGCAGAAGGAAACAAGCTGAGGAAAATGGTTTTCTTTTCAAAACGCCGCTCGCTCCTGCCCAGTTCCCAGGTAGCACAGCTTTACGTGGCTGACGTCTTGACGCATTCGAATGGGCAACGCACATGGAGCCAATTAATTTGTTATTTCTTTTAAATGATCTCTAGTAAGAATGGCTAAACGTAAACAGGACGTTCTCCGGTGAGAGCCCGGCCTTTAATCACTTTCACATGAAGAGCGGCTCTGCCGCCGTTTCCTACTGACACGCTCCCGAAACATGCCGGCTGTGTTGTGGCAACCATCTGCTTGCACATACACAGTACTGTGCAAAAGTCTTAGGCAGTCAAAGGAAATGATTGTTTAAAAGATCCTCACGTTGGTGTAAAAATATGATTTTATGTCTCTCAAATAGTTTTAAGTAAGCCATTTTAAAACTTCACTCTAGTATTTGCAGAAAGCATCCAATAAACTTATATAGTTTTACCAGCCCATGTTCAGAACATCTCAATGAGTCATTTGACAAAGTAAATTAAATAATGAAGTGAGCCAGTGGAGAAATTTAACAAATACATGGAAAGGCTGTGATGTGAAGCGGTGTTCATCTCACTATCCAACAAGATACCAGAAACTTTTTGCAGAACAGAAGAAATTTTTGTTAATTTTTATTATGTTACTGTTCATCTGCATGTCTTCTAATGGTAAATAGTTTTTTTTTCCTGAACAAATATATACCTACTACCCATACAAAAATCTTTAAACATTTTCTTTGATTGCCTAACACCTTTTCTTAGTATTGTGTATTGTTCAGAGTAAAATTTCACTTCTAATTTATTTATTTCTGCTGATAACTTTCAAAGGCGAAATCTTCTATAACTTCCATAACATGTTAACCAGATGGCTGACACAGTGAAACAGAATAACAAGAACAATACGAACAGCAACAACAACAATAACAGCAATAACAACAACAGCAACAGCAACAACAACAATAATAACAGCAACAACAACAATAGCAACAAACAACAATAACAACAACAACAATAAAAATAATAATAACAATAATATATTGCAAAAGCTGAAAACAGAGTAATGATATTTTGTGTGACTGTGTAAAACAGATTAATTTGCTATATTTTTAGATACCATCCAATCTATGTGAAAAATGTATGTTATTTTTATTAAGCATGTACTGAGAAGTAGTAGGACCCTGGAACAGCAGTAGGCATGCGTTATGGATTTTGGGAATTACTACAGTCTTTAAATTGTCACCACGAAGGATGACATCATTTTCATATTTTGTTCTCTATGTATACTCATTGGCTGTTGAGACTGCCAGGGCATTACATCAGGTTGGATGTCCTAGGGTTAATTCTTCACAAGCTATCCTGTTGCTCCCCAAAGCTACTAGAGTTAAACATTGTGTGCAGCTGTCTGCTCTGAAGAATGAGGCACTCTCAGAATGAAGCTGTGTAACATTATCTACAGTACTTTGGGTTCATGTCACGGAGGATGTCATTTCCACCAGCACCAGACCTCACAGGAATGCCAACTTGCATTTTGTAGCGTACCTAACAAAATTGAAATATGCATGTCTAGATCAATGCATATAGTTTTCTCTATAAAACAAATATTTATATACCTTGTTTAATATTGCAGGGTCTCCTTAGGAAGAATGCCGATTCAGAGCCAAAGAAGAGTCAGAGTCCACCTGTCAGTGGATTACAATGTCTTGGTGTTAGAATAACATCTACCGATCAGGTATTCATTTACAATTTTTCAAAATAAACATTAACATCATTCTGAAATATTTATGGTAATTACTTATGCTATAGGTATCATTTTAAGCATTATTGTGTAGCCTATTCATCTAACAAGTGAAATATAATCAACTGCTTTGGCAAGGACAAATGTGTTACATTATATACAGATTTTGAAAGTTAAAATGCACAGGGAATATAGAATCCAGTTCATTTTTGTTTTATTGTAGTTTGCATGTTTGCTGAAAAAATGGGTGCAAAACTATTTGATAGCATTAGGTCTTTTTAGGTTTCGTCTTAAAATAACAGTCCTAAAACTGCACCCAAGTTCAGACCATTTATTTTATACAATTTAATATAATAAATCAGCCAGCAGATGGTGCAGTGGTTAAAGATGTTTAAGTTACTAGCTGCCAAGTACTTATTGTAAATGGGTAAATATCCAGCTATATACAGTAAATGCATAAAACTGTGAGTCCCTTTGCAGAAATGTGTTAGCTAAACAGTGAAGTAATAAAGTACTTTTTAAAAGTAATGCTTACTGCGGAATATTATAGGGTATTAGCGGATCTTGGCATGCTATAATATAAAACTGTTATTGCCACATGAGGTAATTTGTGTCTCATTGAATGTTGGTTTGGTATGACGTTTGCGATTGAATTTGTGTGTGTGTGTGTGTGTGCGTGTGTGTTTCAGGTCCCCACAAAGATCTGGAAATGCAATCAAAAAACTAAAAATGCCAAACGTCTCGTATTTTGTATGATTGCTTAGGGTTAAGGTCGTCATGTTGGGATTACAGTTTTCCCCACAGAAATGAATGGAGAGTCGCCACAAAGATATCATTACAAACCTGTGGGTGTGTGTGTGTGCGCTCGCGCATACCGAGCACTATGTATCGGCATGCGAGATTTGCTTACAGTAGGTAACAGGGTGGATTAAAAAAATCTGCCCCATCTGGTGACCAATTTGTTGGTCTAAATCCCAGCAATGCAGTTTAATCAGAAATCCTGGGAAATCACAATTATATCTTCCACTATTAAGACATCTTATCAGTTACTGCCACAGTTTAAATGTATCCACTACTTGAATTACTTGACTCTTACTTACATGGGAAGTTTATGTTGCTACACAATAAATGCATTGTTCATGTTTAGGAAATGACATTAGCGCCAAATGCAAAAACAGACTGTTTACGAAAACCCAAATAATGCACGAAGTTATCATGTTTGGGCAACTGGTTCAGTTCATTAAATTTTTGTCTTCACGATCCCACAAGAGATTCAAGACTCTTTCTCTATTTCCCCTGAGGCAGAAATCTATATCGCGCTATGAATCATATGCAAAACAGCCTGAATTCAGTTGCACATATGATAATGGTCTCTTGGAATTTAGGAAGTGATGTCATGCTTGTGAGTGCCAAGCCAGAAGGAACAATTATTTCATGTCTCGAACAGTCACACTAGAAAAAACAGGGGTGTAGTTTTCATACTATTTTGGTGTTAAAATACTTAACCACCTATAATTTTAATATAACAAAAACGTTTACAATATTAAAGTGTATTTTTTATTGTCGTCTGTGCTCAATGATGCATGAGTCATACAGTGACATGAAATTATGTTTCTCTTGGTCATAGTGCAAAATAAATAAAATGTATTCTAGACTAATAAAACATAAGACAGTAAAATGTAGACTGGAATATGGCATAAATATATATAACTGAACTAAGCCAGGTTTTATATTTTTATACACCAGCGTGTATATACAGTACTGCATATGTATGTACAGTATATGTGTGTATATATGTGTTAAAAAGTGTGTTCTGTGTATGTCTTCAATACTCATGAATATAGCGTAAGAATCAGATAAGAGGAGGTGACGAGCCGGAAGTATTCTGCGCTAGTAGCACAGCGATTTGCAATCTTTATAAAAACAAAGTTTTGAGAGGTGGAAGCAGCGTTTAGCGGAAAATCCCGGTTCAGGATTTAAATGCTGTCCCTGCTGTGTGTGGGAGCCTCCATGTTCTCCCCATGTTGCAAAGGTTCCCTATGGGTTCTCCAGTTTCCTCCTGCAATCGAAAGACGTGTATTTTAGGAAAATTGGCAGCTCCTGTTTCCCATGATTATGTGTGCATGTGTGAGCTCTGTAAGGGATAGGAACCTCATTCAGGGTATTCCCCTGTGCCTTGGGATATACTTCAAACCCATGACCCTGTAAGTGGTTGGAAGATAGATGGGTGTTTACTTATACAGCACCAAAAGGCCTGTTATACTAATGAATCAAACACTGTACAAGAAGAACAATTAAGTATACAGTACATTTCTGGATAGCTTCCCTCCTTGTTTTCTAAGGAAGATTACAATTAGCTGACGGCATTTTTGTGGAGCAGCAACTGCACGTCTCTCTCCTCGATAGCATAAATGCGCTATTAACAACTTGTTAGCATAGATTTAGCCTTCTCTCCCTAGAAGGTGATAGTTGTAGGTCTGGCCTTTCCACCAGCTAAAAGACACAGCAACTTTAGAGCTGGATGACCAACCACATTAGTAACTACGGATCCACATTTTTTCTGTCTATACCGATAGAGATTCACAAAAGCTCGTTTTATTTTAATATAATAAATGTATAAATATTATATGCATATTTATACTTTATATATTATTATTATGTTTTTTTTGTTTGTTTATGAGGCATTTGCAGTTCAATCTGAATATCTTCCAACAAGGATACGCAGGGAGCTAATGCTTAAAATATCCCACATTTTTTCTCCCAATGGCAACAGCGTCACTTCATAGCGATAGCAGCCCCTCACGTATCACAAGCTGTAGTGAGTACGCAAAACAGCCCAAGCTATAACGACTCCAAAATCATCCATTGCCTTTTTCATATTACACGCGCTGTCTTGCACAATTACGTGCAATTTGTTTAGTGGGATTTTCCGCTAAACGCTGCTTCCACCTCTCAAATTTTTTTTTTTTACAAATATTACAAATCGGCGTGCTACAAGTTGCTGGTAAAAGCATAACGTATGCGCATGACGTCACAGCAGACGGAGGTCACTGCGCTCACACCTTCTCAATGCGTTAGCGTCCAGCTTGAATGCTGCAAAATACACATCTAAAACGTGAATGAGCTGTCGTGCGATTGATTGCACAAATTGATTTAACAAGATATAGGAGCTATCTTTTTATGGACTGCCGAAAACTAAATAAGTAAATATCGGACGTGGATGGGTCACATACGGCTGATACCCCATCTGTCTGATAGGTGTGGATCGGTGCCGATACTGATCTGAATATCGAATTGGGGCACTTCTTTTCCCAACTGAGAACGCTGACTTTTCGGTATTTACCATGCTCTCTTCCAGGCATCTCAGTGCAGATGCACATGTTGTGCTTCTTTCAATTATACTGATACATGATAATAGTACATACTTTTTGTGGTACTCTGTATCCATGAATGACAAAACTAAATTTAATGCAAAGAATGGAACATTCTGAGAAATTTTGCCGTTTAATGTGTCCATATTAACATAGATAAAAGAGTATGATAATCCGGTTATAAAATAAAGCAGCCAAGTTGTGTTATGTTTATGCTAATGAATCCCAATCCCAGTGTGATGGTAGATTTCTTAACTTAAGGTGGGTGTTCAGATTATGTCAGTGTGGCTTGATAAAAAATTACAAGCAGACAGTAAAAGAATCATCATCCTCATATCAGAAAACAATCACTAAATAGGTAACACTCTAAACATAAGGCTATGCATAGTGCAGTAAAGTGATTCAGTGAAAATATATGAAGGTACCTTACATCTATGTGTTTATGAATGTGATTATTTTGTCACTAAGCTCCTAGGAATCTGCCATCATCACTCAGGTTCCTGTGTGGCTGTGGTGGGTTCTGTGTTCCTGTCATTATGTTTTGCTCCAGCTTTATGTTTTTGGTTACTTGTTCTCCCCTTTGGTGCATGATCGCCGTGCCTTTCTGGGAGGGCCGATTCCCCTGCAGCCATTTGTCTCCTGACTTGCTTTAATACTCCCATTTCTAGCAGGGCAGTTGGAAGACCCATGACCTGTATCTGAGACCAGCTCTCTGCCTGCAAAGCAGAGCACAGGCCGCACTAGAGCGCCAGCACTCCTCTCTGTTCTCTCATCTGTTCCAGGATGAGGCCCCTCCCACAATGACATAAGTCCTTAGTATGAGTTGGCAGTAGGCAAGCAACAAGCCACAGTCTTCCACTCGGTTCCTTATCCACTTAGTTTAACAAGGACCTTAGTCAGCAACGACTTCATCAGAAGTCTATTGCTCATTTTCCCACACGTGCATGTGTTTTATTTAACTTTAGATCACTATTAAATATTTTTTTAATATTTATTTTTCTTTTTTACATCAGAATGCCAGAGTTCCCAGAAAATAGGGCTTTGTACATTCTGTGCACCAGATTTTCAGCAGAAATGAACAATATTGCCTGCAAATACTGTGATTGTGCCAATCATTATGAACTTCAAACTGTAACTTTCTCATTACAGAATCTGAAGCCAAGTAAGTTATTACTGATCTTCCTCTGACCTTCTCCCCTGTCTTGTGTGATTGAAAATGTTGTGTAATAAAAATCAGGGTTTGAAACATTTATATACATAATAACCGCAGAATGCATTAAATAAATGTTTCAAATTTGTGACAGTGTCAAACAAAGGAGCATTTCATGCTGAGGTTTTGGAAACCACATGTCCGTCTTGATTCAGTTTCCTCACACATGTCCTGTCCTATTTAACATTCGTCAGGCAGCTGCCAAGACTATAGTGACATTTCCCACCTGCATTTTACGTAATTTTAAGAATTATTTCTGGTCTTGAGTAGTTGTTAGACACAGAACAATATTTTATCGTGTTGTGTATTTTTATTTTGTTGCCTTTTATTGCAGTTTTAGCTTTTCTCTGTCCAGGGCCCTGTTAATGTTCCAAACAAATGCAAGTGAAATAGCCAATCAAAACACGGCAAAACAAAACGGGCAAATAAGTGGCCAGTCTGGAACCGTGCATAACTTGGAATTCCATTTGTGGATTCTTTTTGTGCACTAATGCGAGCTCCGTGAGTTAATTATGTTTTAAAATGAAAAGAAATCATCAGCAATGCTGTTTGTCGAGATTCAGAAGAACAGCCTACAGAAATTTGAACTCCCAGCAGGACAGGAATAGTGAAGACAAGACAATGATACAAGGAAAATTTCAGCGAGGTTATCCGAAATACTGTCCACAGCTAGGCTATGTTGGAGCTGCGGAAATACAATGCTAGCAGAACAATTCCAGTATCTAAATGAACATTAGTGCAGCCTGATTTTTTCATTAAGAGTACAACTCATATTCAAAGCTAGACATGTTTGATAATGTTACCTGCACACATGCACTGTAGACTAGTAGAGGTACAGTATATTGACTAACAGCATCATAAGAATGTAGTGCTGCCCCATGCTGAGCAATTATGAAAACCAGCAGTGAAATAAACAAGCAGTTATATTAGAATGTCTGCATTTTGGCATGACCTTGTAATCATTATCAGAGTTTTAATGATCGATGTACATGACGTAACCCATGGGTTCCCAAACGTTTCAGCCCACGATCCTCAAAATAACAGTTTTGTCATGTCTGAATAACATAATCTAAGAGACGCTCATTTACATACTAAAATAAACATGTACAATAGTTCTCTACTATTGATTATAGTCGCATATCTGCATTAATGCGCAGAAGAGATCGCCGGGGTTCTCGCTTCGGCCCAAATTAGCACGGAAACTTGATACCAATTACAATCGACTTAATCAAACCATTCAGTTAGTGCCAATTCACGGGGAATGGTTGTCTGGCTTCTGATCTTAGAGCCATTTGCCAAATAGGATTTAGATTTAGTTTTTTTGTTCATGGACATTAAACTTTTGTTTTGTGAACAGTGTGATAAAGTGAGAAAAAGGTGCTAACCTTTTCTTTTCAAAATGTAGTTTCAGCTTACCTACTTAAAATTCACAATTCGGTACAAACCTTGAAAATAGTTTTGAAATTAGTTATTAGTAAAACTGTAAATACAAACACAGAAACTGTTGTAAATCAAAGGCAATGCATTTGTTGATGCGTCTGAATAACAAAACCTCATACATGCTTATTTGCACATTGTCAAAATTAAGTTCAATTTAAAATATAAAATCACAACAGTCATAATGAATTACATTTCTTGTTCTCTAATACCAAGTATGATTGCAAATCTGTACTGAATTCCCTGGGGAAAAACATCTTAGATGCCACAGGGAGACTAACGTACAGAGGCGGGTTCTGTGTTGCTCTGGTCATACATACGCTCAGATGATTTCCTCTCAAATTATTGAGCATGTGGTTCTGTTTTCAGCAACATATTGAAGTTTGGTATAACGGTGCTGACAGACAGTCTTTGGTCTTATCATGTACTCTCTCCAATGTGATTACAATTTTGCGGTACATATTGAATTGGCAAACAAATATCAACGTAATATTGAATTGGGAGGTCTCTGTCAATTCCCATCACTATTTTTAATGTTTTAAAGTTTTTTTCACATATGCTGGAAATCATCTTGCAATCCCCCCCCACCCACTGGTGCCTCACAACCCCCACTTTGGGAGCCACTGACATAACCTAGGGAATCATATACTGCCAACTTGACCTTTTATAAGTATTTCAAGTACTTGTACTCACATCGGAATACCCAGTATGCCTCAATATATTAACCTTACGTAGAAAAGTATGGAATTTGATTTTGCTGCCTTACGATTCTGGATAGGTATGGGATGCTTCCTGACTATCGCAGCTGGGGTTGTGTGTGAGGTATGCGCTTGATTAATCTCCATCAAGAAATATTGATATCGCTACCTTGGAATGTACCACTTCTATAATGGGTTAATGCAAGTTTTAATCTGCTTAGCTTGGCAATACCAAATATTCAAAGTGCACTGTATGAAACTAGCATATTGAGTTTTCACTTAGTTGTAAATTAAGCTAAATCGACTAGTACACCAAAATATGTGTATAAATGAATGTTGAGTGGTATTTTACAACTCAAGAACTGAATCCAGATCTCTCAGGCCAAAAGTAACCACTCTGAGTCAAACTAAGAAGAAACACTACACAGTTGCTCAAAGATGGCGCCTTTGTTGAGCTCTGTTGAAACTGTCACTTTCCAACATACTACTGTTACCTTGCTTGAATGAATAAAGACAGACTGCAGAGTTACAGTATTAATGATCCTCGCACTCCCAGGTTCTCATAATGATTCCGGTTTATGTAAAGCAAAGTGTGGCCAAATGAACATTCAGCGTGGAGCTACATCTCCTAAAACTCTGCTGCGTTGCTTACTTTGTTTTAGTTAAGTCTTCAGTGATTCTGGGTGACTTTTTCTGTTACTAAGGGTCAGCAGTAGTGCCTGTTCGCAAAGTGAAGAAGTGAAAGTACTAAAATGTAAATGATGTAAAAATGATGTTCCTGTTTTCAGAGAGATGAGACATAGGTCAGCTAAAAGGGTTAGCTTTTCTGGACATGTGTGACCCAGAGTTATCCTGCTAAATTATCCCAGAACAGTGGTCCAGTTTTTGACTCCTCTGCCGTGGGAGTGCCGAGTCGCTCAGCAGGCTGAGCCTTTGTCTCTGTGATCAAAAGGTCGCTAGTTTGAGCCCCAGCCTCAGCAGAATAGTTCCATGTCTGTGAGCCCGTCAGCAAGGCCCTTAACCCCCAGCTCCCTGGATGCTGAGCAGTGGCGCCCCCTTCACTGTGAAGCCCAAGCTTCCTCTCACCTGAATGTAGGGCAAGATGGTGTAACGATATTTTCCCCATGGGGATTAGTAAAGTCTATTCTAACTGACATACTGTAGTTGGTTCCACTGTATTTCAAAGGCAACTCCAGAAACTGGAACCTCAGTAACACAGTTGTCTCTTCTTGTTTTTTTCCTTTTTCCCTTCACCAGATACCTGAATTGAGGTTTTCAATGGTTCTCATAAAGTAAATGAAGTGGAATGAACTGGAAGCGGCTCAGAATCTCTTTCAGCTGTGCAAAGTCTTGTTTAACGTCATTGTTCTTTTTGTATTAATATGGTGTTGCTGCTCTGAATAATAGGCCTTCCTGACTCCATAGTATTAAAGATTTTGTTTTATGTATTTTACTATTATAGAAATAATTATCAGAATGTAATAGGGGATTTAATGGGACTGTGTCTCAGTGGGCTAGACCTCTGTGCCTATGATCCGAAAGTCACTGGTTCAAGTCCTGTCCTCAGAAGAATAGTCACGTTTCCACTGGGCCCTTGTGCAAGGCCCTAGATAAATGGCTGACCCTGCACTCATATCCCTGTGTATATGTCTCAAAGGAGAGCAAGAAGGGATATGTGAAAAGAAGCATTATGATGCACTTGTGCAAATGGCAAATAAAGCATAATCTCATTTTTTAGTATTATTATTATTTTGTTAATAAAAATAATAGACGAATAACTGCTATTATTGCTACTATTACATAATTTGTTTAGTAACCATTGCCTGCTGAGACATACTGTAAATAAGTTCAGAACAGATTTGTTAAGGTGTTCATTTTCTGTGACCAGATTCAGATGAGCCTTGAGGTTCAAAAGGTTGAGGTGGTTTGTTCTCTTCTCTATGGCCACTGGCTTGTTGCCTTGCTTCTAGCGAGCGGAATGGGAATCAAAAGTGAACTTATCTTGTAAACTGGGCCCAACTGCTTAATCCTCTAATCTTCTATCTTCCAACCTCTTATTGTGGTGGGATTTAAACCCTTAACCCCGGAGGTTTGAAGCAACAGTGCCATCACTACTGTAATTTACCTTTCCTTGAATTTAACTTTTAATATAATTTTGCTGGTGATATGAAATGTAATAATACACATTCAGTATGTGTACCTTTTGCGTAGAAGGAAATACCAATTGTTGATTTTTTTTCTGTGTTGATCTTCGGACAGGGACTTTTGCTGAGAAGTCGATCTCCCACCAGACAGCTCGAGAACAAGAATGACTCTGTCTGCAGTAATACAGGAGTGGGCCTTATGCAGAATGATTGTTCCATCACTCAGCGTAACACCTTCTTCAACAGAGAGGTTCTGCAGGTATGGATAACCATTTTTCATGGCATATACTTTTTTTGTTTGCATGGCAAATACAGTCAAAGGTTCATCTAGTTTTTAGTCAATGAACGTAGATTCAGAATGTTTGATTTTAAATAGAATATGGTAATATTATTATATTTGATGATCAGTGTTAACACACCACAGCAATGGAATGTGTCCTCTGCATTTAACCCATATATGACATAGCAGGGGGCAGCTAATTCAGCGCCCGGGGAGCAGTGATTGGGGGCAGTACCTTGCTGGTTAGGGATTCGAACCAGCAATCTTTCAAGTACAAGTGCACTTCCCTAACCATTAAGCCACCACTGCCCACAAACAAAGGGGTTTTCCCCACAGGGAAAACCTTCTGGACAAACACTAAAAAGCAAAAAAAAATATATATATGCTTCTCATATTATATATATATAATATGACATGCACAAGAGTAGTTCTATTGGTTTTTGTTATTGTGTTTTCTAGATAATTCCTTTAGTCCATTTACTAAATAGTATATGTATTTGAACATCTGTGAAACTTCACGAATGCTTTAGAACTCTGTAATTGAGCAGTAAAGCTGAACTTGTAATGAAAGATGAGTATTAATTTTCTGCATGTAGCTGGCAGAACCTCCATGGCTGTTACGCCGTTTTCTTGGCAGTCAGAAATAATTATTTACAGTTGTGAGAGGATGAGCAGGACGAGGCCTAACCTCAGAGTTTCGGGTGAAGCAGAACAGGCCGGCGGGCCCTTGGTGATGAGTCGTTATGCTTCACATGCACCTTGAAGTGTCTGACACCATGAAGCGGGGAGCCGGTCTGGTAGAGATGGTGACGGATGTGGAACTCACTCAAGAATAACAGTAATGTGGGGAAACAGGCCTGTGTCCCTTTGACCCTGGGGAACACAACGGTGTTTTTGTCAGCACTGGCGTGCTAACGGGCTCGGGGTGTGGGTGGTAAGGGGAATGGCTACAAGAGGAACAATTATTCGGAGATGAGATCATTGTTTGGCTCTGTTGCTTCATGCCTTTGGCCTGTGGAAATCAGCCTTAGCGGTACAAAGCTAGCGCTGTTTTGTGGTGGTGCTGACGCTGAGAGATAGCACAAGGTCCTTTCTCAGTGTGTTTAGGACGGATAGTTGCAGGCTGGAATGGGTGTTGCTCATCTCCCTCATGTGGGGGAATTGTATAGGAGCAAATACTTATCGGTAGTAAGGGGTATAGCAAAAGGCTACATGCCTACCAGCTCACAGGGAATGTTTGCAGAACTTTAGCTAACGTTATGTGAAAGTCTTCTCAAAGTTGGCAGAGAAGGTTCTTGCTGTTAGGTCAATGGAACAAAGGCTCTGTCAATGTCAGCATGATGATTACTACCTAAAATTGCATTTAATGCAATTAATGCTGAAAAGTATTGTTTTATAATAAAATTCTATCTCATAAATGCCCTGTATGTGTATGATTTGAACACAACATCCATCAGTGAGCCCAAAACCTTTAATGTGTAAGGCAACAGTGTTACCCACTGCCCTACCATGCCTTTTGTTCGTTTTTATGTTATTAGTCTTAGTTGTAGTAGTGGTTGTAGTCATGGGGTGCTGTTCTGAGCACCTAAGGAATGCTTTACACAACACTCCATCCGATGCTTGGCGTTCTGCTTAGGGTATGGGAAGTTTCCACACCTTAATCATAACGTTCAGTAAACATTTCTAGAATGAAAAAATTGTTAGCAGAGCAGCATGACCAGCTTAATAACAACTTACAAAACACAACAAAGACAATGTACCATCTCCTTCAGTCCGTGGCTGTTTTATGCTAAAGCTTTAAGGCGTTTTATTGATAGGTTCCATGGTGAATTTCTACGTCCCCCAGTGAAAATTGAGGGTGTAAGGCTGCGCTCCATGTGACAATCTGCTTAGGGTGACACTGTGCTGAGTCATACTTTATGGAGCCCAAACCTTTGTATTATTTTGGAGAATTTTACATGTTTTACGCTACATCTGATGCGATGTGTCACTTTTAATTTCAACAGTTTACTGACAAGATTTTGGTGCCAATTATGTAAACTTAAAATAATTATAGCTAGTCTATTTAACTTGATTGTTTTGAGGGCTTGATTGCATTTTTGCTTCAATGAGAAGCAGCAAAAACAAGCAGTTGAGTATTTCAGAGGAAATGGCAGGCATTGTACTTTGTGTTGTGATGAGATGGATTATGGAAATCCAAATGATTGAATATGTCCATCCATACATCTTTCAGTACAGGGTTGCTGATGACTGGATATGTTTTTGAGTAATTATTTTCTGTCATTTTCAAGTTTATACAAGAATTTATTCAGACCATATTGAAAACATTTTTTTTAGTACAAAGTCTATCCATCTTTCCATGTAACCATTGTTCACATTAACATTTTGAATTTGGATTCAGAAAGAAAAAAGCTTTTTCAAAATGTTAATTTGTTGCTTTATTAACAAAAACTAAATGTCAATGGTTGGATTCCCGTTTATTTACAATATTTAATAATTTGATATTTAATTTCATCTCATTTTTGTAAGTATAGGCCAGACGGAAGAAATCAAGCCAAGACAGAGTGAAAGTAACCGTCCTCAGATATTGGAAATGGACCTTTTTCAATTTGTTGCTTAGTTCCTTCTCTTTGCTCCCCCCGCCCCCGAATCGCTGGTCTTTTCATAATGTTAAATTGTTCATTTAACTTTGTTGTGGATTATATTCAGATAACCATGCAGTTAATAAAGTTTTCCTTTTAAATGATGCAATTAAGTTCTGCCACTTGCAGTCAGATGAAAGTCAATGTATTGAGCGTGTCCCACATAAACACATCTTTTCCCTGAGGTCTTGCTGGCTCAGTGTTTCGGGAGTGAGGCTCTGGCCGTAAGCATGCCACTAAGGCAACAGGCACACTGCACTTAGCATAAACAGACTTAGTTCCTTCAGTTGCACATAACACGTTACTGGAAAATGAAGAATAGTTGCCAGATAATTTGTTTTTAATAATTTGTGTTTAAGTTTTACACTGTGTAACTGCAGTGTAATACTGATTGTGACTGGCTAGATTAGGTTATAGCCTTTCAGGACCAAATTACCTAGCAACGTTTAATATCTCTCACTGTTCCTGATCTGTTTGTCTGAAGTGTTTTATTGTTATACACATAGTTAAAATTTGTTTAGCTGATGAATTGTTTTCAGAGTGTGAACACACAAACACTGAAACGCATGATATTTTACCTCAAATAAAATAAAAGTTTGTAGCGTTCTGTTTAAAACTTAGAGGAAACTCACAATGGTCTTGTGTATCTGTGGCTGGAAAAACTGAGTACTTTGAGTACAGTGTGAAGTCAGTAACACAGGTTTTCCAAAAGCACATGACATTTTGGGCTGGGGGGGTGAAAGTCAGGGAGGATGATTGGAGTTGCCAGTAAGTAAGCTGTACTGTTTCTCAAGTGCTGGCGATTTGTCATTGACACTGATACACTGTAACATACCAGACTGATTTAGCTTAAATTAACTACAAAATAGTTATGTTAGATCACTGAGAATATACAGTATGTATCTTTAACACATTACCTTTGCTAGTAAGTTTGGAAGTTTCTCTCATTTGTGGACCCTTCTTTTTCAGCAGGGGTGCAAGGTGAAGCAGTGCTTCCTAATGAATGATTTGATTGATTCAGTCAGTTAGTAGCTGCCTCTCATTGGGCTTCCCCTCATTTACAGGCCGAGCAGTGGATCGATGGGAAGCTGCAGGATTTGAAAGATGGTTATAACACCTGCTGGGCCTCTCTTCAGGACTGGGAAGAGGCATCCCAGACCCTGCAGAGAGATCTCAAGGACTTTGAGAATACACTCATACAACTCAATCAGGTGAGCTTTGTGTACTCTGTGCAGCACAGGTGCTGTAGTTCTGTTCATACAACTAGAGGTTAATGGATTAATGACAAACTAGATATTTTAGAAAACGCCAGCCTGCTACTGTAGAGCACCGAGGTTGGTGTCATCAGTGAATTAACGATTGCCTGTTTCACGTGTCTCTGTTCCACCGCCACTGAATGTTAAGCAGATGTCTACTAAAAGTATGCAGTTCAGTTCAGTCTGTGGTTCTGTGCTGCTCTGTGGTAAATGTATTTCCCAGTCCCTGTGTTTGAAGCCTCTTGTTTTGTTGGTTTTCTACCTAATAAACTCTTGGAATGACCCACACTTTCATGCTGACAACTTTTTCCTCCCTGCACTTGGATCTGGACCCAGTTCTTGTGCAACATTCATTCCTGTTATTGTCTCATAATAAGGTGAATTAATGCTGATGAGGTACTTATCTTTTTTTTTACATATAAATATATTAATCCCTTTCAGTAGAGAAGCATGAATCAGTACAAATGTTTTAACATTTTTATTGTCTGATACAACATCAGAAACATTGAACTTCTCTCTATTTGAATATGTTTTATTTGTGAATAAATCACTCTTGCTGAATTTGCTCCTTTCCCTGTTGTAACCCTCAGCCTTTTCTAGTTTGACTATTAAAATGCCCGATGAGGCTCGGGAAGGGATGTTCTCAATCTGTCTGAACTCCCCGCTTCGATCAGATCTGAGATCTCTTTTCCATGCTTTTCTCCCGTGGGCCGTAACCTGCTGTTTATAGATGGGGGAGCAGCTTGTGTGTGAGCAGAACCCCAACGCCGACGTGGTGAAGAAGCAGCTTGGTCAGCTCCGAGATCACTGGCACGCCCTGAAGCAGGTGGCCACCAAGCAGGCCGTGCCATTTAACCTGCATCAGGCCAACAGAAAAGTGAACAACATGGAGGTCTGGATAAAGGAGAAGGTGACCCACATGCCCTCTTGACAGCATGTGGCCTGTCCACCTGGGTTTATATAAGATACTTTTAATGTTCTCAGACATATACCAAATACCTTTAAGATACTTTTAATGTTCTCAGACATATACCAAATACCTTNTAAGATACTTTTAATGTTCTCAGACATATACCAAATACCTTTAAGATACTTTTAATGTTCTCAGACATATACCAAATACCTTATAAAAGTCTTTCTGCATTGTGATATTTGTGACCTGAAGCAAAATTGTTTTACTGCTTTTATCCATGTAGACTCTCCCATTTGTAAATGTACATATATAATATATCTTAGTTACAAACTTGGGGTAATAGCAAAGGGGAATATTGGACCTTTTACTTTTTACTTCTTTAGCATGCTTTGGAATCTGGATCTCGTACTTTTCTTTACTTTCCATCCTACGCCGAGGGTATTTCGAATCACAACGGCACCGATAAAAATGTACATTCCCAATTCATTCAGCTAGAGACCTATAAAAACATCAGTTTTATTTTCATCAGCAGGAAGAGCAGCAAACCCTGGCAGATACTTGCAGGGAAAACACTGACAATATCCAGCTGACTAGAAGAATCCTGGATCTGGAACAGGTGAGTGTTGTTTAAAAAAAAAGGAAGGAACAGGAAAGGTTTCATCATCTCCCGAGTCCCAGCTGTCGTATTTGCTTCTTGTCATGTAAACTGAGTGACTGTAGCTCTGATCCAGCAGTGGCCTCCATGTGTCTGATCTCGGGCAGTGGCCTCACAAATTATTTTGATCTCTGAAAGGATTGAACTTTTTAGTTTGTAAACTGGAAACAAGCCTGTATATATAAAGTTGGTATCAGTTTTTCCATTCGTCTTCACTTCATGAAAGCAGCTGCTAAAGTGGTAGAATATATTAATGTAATGAAAGATAAAATGGCGTTGCACAGTTATAGCAGTAAAATAGTAAAATACTAAAGTAATAATGGAGGCTTACAGTATTATTTTCCAGGCCAGGTAAGGGAGACATAATATTGATATTTTTCTCTTGGGATTAGGATGAAAAGAATGATCTGGCACCAAAACTGGAGAAATATTGGAGAACTGAGAGCAAGAACATCACTGCCAGCAGGAGGGATGTCAGTGAGATGTAAGCACCATGAATCCACCAGCAGGGAGGGCAGGTAGCCTCCAGCTTAAGGGGCCGTGAAATCGCATGAGGGGCTGAGGCTTTGGAACTTGAGTTCCTTTAATGTAATACTGGGCATCTGTAGATTTCTTTGGATTAAAGTGGTACCAAGGAATCGCCTGTGACAGGCCGATTCTGCACGGAAACACTAAAATTTATTTTGGAAACTTCATTAAGTGTTGCAGTAAATTTAACTTTAATTTTTTTTATTATGAAATCCTGTCATGATCTCTTGGATTCATGATGGAGAAACTGATCATAAGAAGCGGAGGAATTCAAAGTAAATACTGGTTATAAAGCGCTGACTGTTCTCAGAATGTTCTTGCTGGCGGTATCTTTGTTTCAGGTTTTTTGAGATCCAGTCTCGTCTGAAGGATTACCATGAAAGTCTTCAGCTAGCCTTGGAAGTGTCCTCATTTTACCAGCTAGCAGATAACATCATTAATGCTATTACCAATAAGGTACTTTTTGTAAATTTTAAAGGTAGATTCTGTTGAAACAGGCCACGTTTGCCTTTAGGCTGTATCGCATCATTTTTCACTGCTCTGTTGAGGCAAAGTCTGCTGAGTCACCTTTTCTTTCTCCTTGTTGTTGGTGGTTTGTCTCAGAGCAAAAGCATTTCTGTGACCAATGACCATGGAAGCAGTGGAGATAAAGAAATTAGAGACATAGCCAGTCAAATCACGGTGAGTTCTGCAAACTCATCTGACTGCAAAAAAAAAGGCTGTGTATAAGTAAAGTGTCATTATCACCATGTTACCTGTATCTGCTGAGTCACTGTTCGACAAACCTAAAATGAGTGTGGCGTTAACAGGAAGAAAGAATATATACAGTGGTACCTCAGAATTCAAAATTAATCCATTCAGAACTCCAGACCGAATCCTAAAATTTTCGAGTTCTGATCGAATTTTCCCCATAAGAAATAATGGAAAACCAATTAATTGGTTCCCGGCCCCAAAAAATTACACTGAAATATGTTTTTTTTTTAAGCATTTAAACACAAAATGAACTGGACAAAACAAGAAAAGCATATACTGTACTATACACATCTAAGCACATTTATCAAAACAGTAATTTTTAAAGTAAGAAAATAAATGTATCCAAACAATGTGTAAAGTTAAAAAAAAAAACGATGTGCCACGCCCCCTCGTTAACCCCGTGTGGAATCCCCGTGTGAAATCCCCGTGTGATCAGCTGTTTCTGGTTGTTGTCATTAGTCCTCTGTATTTAGTCCGCGTTTCAATTTGTTTCCCCAGTCCGGTCATTGTATTGTCCGTCTGCGTTTTGCCTGCCTTACCTGTAATTAAACCCCGTATTCCCCGATACCTTGACGTCTGCGCCTTTGTCTCTGTTCCGTCCCCGCTGGGCTCAGTTTAAATGGTCTTTATCTTCGTTCACTTTAGCCCGAACTACTGTAAATCCGACAAATAATCCAACTAATCATGAAATCCAATTCTAGCCCAGTTAATTGCCATTGTTAGCAATATCAGTTGATACATTACCTGCGGTGCTTTACATATAAAACTGCATAGCAACACGTCCACAGATAAGTTGGATGGCATAGTGTGTGCAACCGATTTAATGAACCACAAATGAGAAGTAATGCTTAAACAATATAAAACTACAACTTTCCCTTCTGTTGATAAAAGGCGCAGCCATCTTGGATTCTGAACTCGGGACCCTCTGCTGCTCCGAGATATTTCTCGGATCTCCGAGAAACAGAAGCGCGCATGTCGTCACTTCTGACTTCAAAACTCGGAATCCGACTCGGAATACGAGGTACCAGGGCAAATGGAACGCACCAAAACTGCCCGAAATGGGTTGACAGAGACATTTCAGGGATTTTGATTCATTCTGCGCTGCAGATGGGTTAATTGCGTTAAATTTTTTTTATCAGATTAATCATGATGATGGATTAAGCCGCGTTATCCCGTTAATTTTGACAACCTTAATATAAATGCACATATGACTAAAGAAGAATAGCAACAGGACAAAATTAAATTTTAGATGCAGTTCACTGGCGAGTTGTGCTATTTTTAGAACAGGTCCGCAGGCGACTCATGTGGTCCTTGGGGGCATCCTGGTGCCCGCGGGCACCATGTTGGTGACCCCTGGTCTAAATGTATTTTTACTGTCTAAATATATGTATTCAGCTAGTGTAAACATGCACGATGCTATCACAGCGAATGCCAGGCTGAGTCTGAAGCTTTACCCTTTGTTCCCGCTGAGAGACGTGCCGCGTGACTCATTTCCCCGCGTGTACAAGTTATCTGAAGTCGGCGTTCACGGTTTGACTTCTGAGATTCAGATCAAGTTCTAGGTAAATTTTTTTCGAACTGGTTGGTTCGACTTTTAAGAAATTTGAGTTCTAATGAGTTCGAGAACTGAGGTACCACTGTACTATGTATATATACATAGTTATAGTCAAAAGTCTGGAGACACCTAATGAAACTTGTGTAAAAAAATAAAATCATCGCTGTGAAAATCAAAATAATGACCCTAAGCACACATCAGGGTTATGAAGTATAATCTTGTCAAGGAAGGTCATGGAGTGTTGTGACAAATGATTTGAGATGAGTTGGGTAGCCAACTTGTGGCCAGAACTTGTGGAAACTCCTTCAGAACTGTTGGAGAAGCATTCCAGGTGGCGACATCGAAGCAGAGGGGAGCTGTTTGAAAAGTATAAAATTTTAGAAAATGTTAAGATGTTGAACACCTCTCTTGGTCGCTGCAGTATTTGATATGTATTACATCTTTCACAGGAGACCTTTTATTATACATTGAATGCTAAAACAGAGACAAAAGCATTAAAAGCTGTTTTGTCCGGGTTTTTCACTGGCACTCTCTGTACAAATACAGCTTATTTTCATTTATCTGATGCAAATGCTAATCAGCTGGAGCCAGCATGCATGTAAAAGGTTATCCAGCAAGGTCCAAAATAATTACATCCAGGAAGGAAAAATGATTTTTCTACTTAGCAATAAAGTGTTCCGCAAATATATTATGCAATTATTTTCCATCTTTAAAAATACAATTGTTGCAGTCTCATGAAGTCCTTCTAAACACACTAATTTCCGCCTCCCCCCACCCAGATGCTGGATGTGTTTGTTTCCCGCTTGTCCAGCTTCCATCCCACCCTGGCAGCCAGGCTGACCCACAAGCAGGGCGAGGTGAAGGGCAGCTGGAGCCTCCTCCAGAGTCTCCTCAGGTAGGGCGGTGTCTCTCTGCTTGTGGTCTCCCTGCTTGTGGTCTCCCTGGAGCAGAGAAGCACCAGCAAACACACCGGGCCTCGGTGTCTGAGACTTTAATCTGTACCAGTTACTCAGTACAGGTTTATCAGGTCCACTACCCAACAGGTTCTAATTATTTTGGCAGAATTAAAAAATACTTTTTTTTTGTTTTTCATAGTTACTATAATTTAATTACTGTAAATATTATAGAATTGTTACCTCTGTGAGATGAAACATTGTTGCTTATGTTGTTTCCATGTATTGTTGTCTGTGTTGTTGAGATGACAAATAACAGTAGTCTGGGGAGGTATGTATGCGCACAGAGACAGAATCACGTTCATCTCGGGCATTTCTGCTTCTCCTTCCTCAAGCACTCTGGTTTTAAAGGGTGTGTATCTGTTGTGAGGGATTTCCTTTTTTTAAAATAGGTTGCCTTGGTAGGTGTGGCATGGTGGTGCAGTGGTTAGCCCTGTTGCCTCACACCTCTGGGACCTGGGCTCGAGTTGCTGTCTGGGTTACATGTGTATGGAGTCTGCATGTTCTCCCCATGTCGTTGTTGGGTTTCCCCCCACAGTCCAAAATCATGACGAGGTTAATTGGAGTTGCTAAATTGCCCATAGATGTGGGTGTGCCCTGCAATGGGCTGCCCCCCCTGTACTGGGTTGTTCCCCGCATTGTGCCCATAGGCTTTGTGACCCAGATAGGTAAGTAGTTTGGAAAATGGATGGATGGACATCTTGCTATACAGAATGGATCGATTTACAATTTTTGTTCTTCATACACGGCAAGACGCAATAAGCATGTCGACTACAGATCTTAAACCAATTTGTTTAATTTAACTCAGATTTATTCACAAAACGGCATGACGGTGAGCTCAAAAGCATGTCTTATTTTTATTTAAAAAGGCAGCTATATGTACAATAATAGTGGGTATCAAGGTATCAAGATTTGCAATGTTTTGCAAAGTTCATGTTAAATGGATATTAGTTTGAAGGAGCTTTATATTCCCTTTATGAAATTCATGAAGAGAAAATTTAATTCTAGAGGGAAATATCCAAAAAGTCTCTGCACAAACAACCAAAGAAGTTTAGGAAGAGTTAGATTCAGAGAGAACAATAACCCCCCCCACCCCCCAGGCTCTGCAGTCTGGCTTGGTTTTTTCATCGCAGCACCATTTCTCTGGTTTATGACGTTCTAATGGGAGATCAGAAAGCTTGTTTTGGAGGCCAGATGTGATTCTGTTCACTGGTCCTGAGCCAAAGGCCGGCCTAACATGGTCTGGAGGCTCCGCACAGAGCTTTGCATAGAGATGTGTTCTTTTATTGTACATAGAGAAACTATCAAACTGGGCACTGTTTCCACTCGCCACACCATTTCTTATACATTGGCCCCTTTCACTTTCTTTCACACGTTAACACATTTAAGAAAGGCATCCCTGAGGAGTAATCAGGATTATGTTGATCACCACTGTACATTTCAGTGTTATCATTACTGATGACTGTAACACTATAAAAAAACATCTTCTCAGTATTAAGTCATCACTTTTAATCGTATTTATGTTAAATACTGGATTTACTTATTTTTGGATAGTGTAACGTAATCATGGGCAGGCACATAAACAGGTAGTAAAAGTATGGATTAGAATACCACCCCACCCCACCCCGAAAGTTGGAGACCTGTTGGTAGGGTTGCTGGATACCCCATGACATTTATTCATTTCTAGCTACAGCCCTGATGTGAGGGGCACAGTGACTCATTAGCCTCCAGGTTTGGCGAGGGGTTGGCATGATCTTCCCATGTCGTGTGAATTTCCTCCAGGCTCTCCGGTTTCTTCCTAAAGTTGAAAGATATGCAATTAGGCTAATTGGGGTCTCAAAATTGCCATAATTTTGTGTGCATGTTCCCTGCGGTGGACTGCCATCCCACCCAGGATAAACCCCAGCCATCTCCGTGCTGCCTGCAACTGACTGCAGATCCCCCTGTAACCCTGACCAGGATAAGGGGTTAGAAAATGGATAGATGGATGGATAAAGTAATTGTTATTGTAGTTTGGTGCTCAGACCAACTGATGATGATTGTCTTCAGTTGTATATTTAGAATAGTTTGGCTATAGGCTTTCATACATGGTGTCTATTTCATCCCTTCCTAACATTTATTCAGTGCACGTTTGCTGGAGGTTCTGAACCTGTCCCAGACAGCATAGGGCACAGGGGGGCACTCTGGATGGGGCATCCAAGGAGCTAAATATCCTCATAGCCCATTCCACTTTTTTTGACACACATGATGAATCATTACTTTACTTGTTATGTGTTACTCACTGGTCTTGGCAATGTTCTCTCAAGCAGGAAGGAAGTTTCGGATTCTCCCTCCAACGCCAATGCTCTAACCAGAGAAGATGCTGGTCCGCTGAGCATGTCCAGCGAGCCTCAGGGTGGCATGGAGAATGAGGCCCTCAGGATCTTGGGAAAGGAAGACAAAGAAGAACAGAACCGACTTAAAGGACATGTGGTGAGGAGCTGCTCGCAGCTCAGGGACGTGAGCCGTTATGTTTCACAGCATCAGGGTCACCGGTCTCATTAGCACCGGCGTAAATATGAGATATTGTTTATTACAGGAAAGTGCAGTAATGTTTAAGTACTTCTCATATTGGCCTTTATTTTTAGTCTGCTGATTAAATGAGGTACATACTAATTAATAAATGCAGGTAACCAGGGCTGGCAATGAAGCTCACCCACTGGTCTCAGGCGAGCCATTTAGAGCAGTGTTTCCCAATCCAGTCCTCAGGGACCCACAGACAGTATACGGTTTTGTGGTAGGGAGCTGGGAGGGAGTGAAAATGTGGACAGTCTGGCAGGGAGCTGGGAGGGAGCAAAAACGTGAACCGGCTGTGGGTCCCCATGGACCGGATTGGGAAACACTGATTTAGGCGAAGTATGTGTACAGAAAATAGAACACCAGCCCGCTGAATACTAAAAAAACTGCATGTCAAACTACATTCTTCACTGAACTAGCCCAAGTGACTATAGCAAAAATTAAGTTCCCCCCCTGCAGGTAGCACAGTCTGCTGTATGTAGACAACCTCTCTGAGGGGTTAAAATGAATGGCCTCAAACGGCAGACAATGAACGGAGCCCTATCGCTCTACCTCCTGCAGTTTCTGAATGTGAAGCCACTAATTTGCAATGGCTTCTTCTACTTAAAGAATGTGTAGTTTAAACGTTTTAAAGGTTGTATTTATATGGGCTTGAAATTCCATGTTTCCATGGAAACAGCATGCCATGATTGTGCACTATGGTAAAATAGTATGCCAGAACAAATACCCTTTACCTTTACATTCACAATGTAATAGCTTTAATACTCCTGTGTCTTTAAATGGCAGCATGGTTAGTATGACATTTGGAAGTAATAATAGTAACAAGAAGAATCGGTCTGGTTTTTTAATATATTACAATCTGTAAAGGGCATTTGTGTCACTGGTAATTGAAAGCTCTGTATTGAATTTAAATGCTACGTTTCTTGGATACATGGACATTTCCCAGGTTTGATGAGCAGTGTTTCTATTTTTATGATGGTAAAGTTTCCTCAGTTGAATACCTTCAACTGTGTGTCAGACATGTGCCAGAAAAAGAGGAAATGGTCTCTATTAGTTGTTAATACAAACAGGAACCCTCCGAGTGGAGTGAAGAAGCCTGTAAGAATCTACTTGGAGACCAGAGACCGTAGCATAAGACCGTCATGCATAAGACTGCAGACCTACACAAACCAAAAGTGAACTTTCTGCAGAGAAATTGCAGAGTGCCTACAAAATGGAGCTGAGGTGTTTGTTGGGTAAATAGTTGTCTGGTCATACCCTCAACTAATTGGCAGTCTGTAGCGGTCGTCTGGTTTGAACAGCATCACCCTCCTACTGTTGAGCAGCATGGGCACAGCTGTCAGTCAAATAAGTAATGATTATCCCCACCTGGGGACGGCTGTTTAAGTCCTGTGCCCCCCCCCCTTTGTCTGAGTCTTGAGCCAGAGACGGCGGTTTACTTCAGTGATCCTTGCTGTGCTTCTGACCTTACAGCTCCTTTTTTGTTGGGTTTCTATAATTATACCTATTCAGCAGATGCTTTTTCCAAAGCAACTAGGGGTTAAGGACCTCACTCAAGAGCCCAATGATGAAATCACTCTGCCAACCACAGGTTTTGAACTGGGAATCTTCCAATCGCAGGCCCGGTGTCCTAACGTGCTGAGCCTCAGCTGCTAACCCAAACTGTCATTCTGACTGCTTTCCCCTCCTTGCACTTGAATCTGGGCCCAGCGACCATGCAGCATAATCATTATGAGTGAGGGAAAACAGAGAGGGACTGTCCCCTCAGCTGTGACCCATGGTCTCTTAGGGTTCCATCACTATTTTGTTATATCGATGGCTATTACAAACTGCACTAATGAACATGTTCTTATTTGTCATAATAGTTTTCTACAATCAGATTTACTCTTACCATGTTTCTTTAAGCTATAACCAGTGATGCTATTTGCGACCCATTTGCCGAATTACATATTTATTAACACAATCAAATTTCTATCAGTCTTTCTGATTCTTTAACAATCTGTAACAATATGAGTGCTAAATGATATACAGTAGAAACAAAAAGGACTGTATGAGTTTAATAGTTCTAGCCATTGTTGCGTGATATAAGACTCCCCATGCGCTGAGTCTCCCTGATTACCAAAGGTGACACAAGGAGCACAGCTGCGTTTCAGGTATTGCTCTCTCCTTATTGGCCACTTTCACGGCCCACGGCAAGCATCCCATAACAATGGCCACTTGTCTAGTGCTCCCTGGCAGCAGCTGACTGTGGGTGTTGCGGTTATTTATGTTGTATCTGTGGGAGCCCTTGTTATTGGACTTTATGGAGAGTTTTATACAAGGCCGAACAAAAGCCTGGAGTCAGAGACACCTCTCGGTGCCAGCTACAGCCTCCAGTCAACTAGCAAAACAAATTTGTCTCGGTTTCACAATGCTTAACCTCACCCTGGGGAGCTCAGACGAGACTACAATGCACCGAGTCGCTGGAGGTGTCGGGCCTAGCTGCGGAAAACCTGCAGATAACAGAAAAGCATGACAGGATGCCTTGCCCAGGTTCAGGTCCGACTCAGTTACAGGTGTGGGAGGTTGTTTTCTGCGGGTGGCGGGCCGCCAGAGTGGCAGCCGGCCGGCTAGGCGCTGCTGGCGACGGTGAGGCCTGATACCCATCCGTTGTTTCCTGCTAACAGCCTCCAGATGCGCAAGCTGCGCACCAGCTGGGTATGCTGACGCCGATCGCTCATGGCTGCCAACATCCCGCAACACGATGCTGGGAATCGTGGAATGAGGCCGCTAGTGAGTGAAGGAAGTGTTGACTTTCAGAGAGTCTGTTTTTTTCCCCTGGTGATATTATATTTTAAATTACCAAACACACTAAATAAGTATTGTTCTTACAATGAAAGTCATACTAAGATGGACTGGAATACCAAGTCAAAGTAAGAAAAATCACAGGCGGAAAATTGTGCTGATAATGTATCGCCCTCGTTGAAATGTTTGTTTACTGTTCCATTGTGGAACACTCAGAATGCATATCTTCATTATTGTCTTTTAAGGGTATAACTAGTCACATAACCAGTATCGCGTTGGCTCTTTTGGCTTTAGTGTGTTTCTCTGATACTGCAGAAGAGATGGAGTTGGACATCTTTGCAGTCCTGGATTTCTTATCCTTTAAATGACAATGACAAGCAGTCACAGCACGTTCCAGAGTCTATAGCGTTAAGTTCTTACGTAGGTCCTTTTCCTCGCTAATGGCTGGGAGAGGCCAGTTTTGGATGGTTCGGGAGAATTTGTTTCAGACCAAACTAAAGTCATGTGTGTCTGGTTAGTTTTTCATATGGCCTGCAGTAATGTGGTCCTGATCCCCCTACGGTCCATCCTCGCAGTGGAGGTTCTAGACCATTGCAACAAAGGGGGCCAAACAGAGGCCAGTTTGTCTGTTGGAGGGACCAGATGTATTTAACCTTACTGTGCTCAAAATAGTAATTACACTAGATTGCCAGCATTAAGAAACAAAAGACAATTTTAAAAACCAATAAGATGTTTGTTTATGCAATGTTTTGCAGTTACATTTTACAATTTTTACAGATATGTAACACAATTATTTCTTCTTTAGACTGTCATGCCTTCACGAGCTTGATTATTTTTTTTCTGTCATGAACTTTTCACCAGCTGAAGTGACTTGACCACCCTGCGTACCCCTGTTAAGAGTCCATCAAGGAATTGTGCTTACGTTTGTGTTTCGCCTGTTCCCAGTGCACAAAACTTTTGCCCACATATATAAATGATAATAATAATAATAAGAAGAAGAAGAATAATGCATGTATTCCAGACCCAAGAAGCATACGCATTTAACGGGGCCACGGGGCCACATTGTCATGAGAGCACTGCCCCCCCCCGCGCCCTTGTCACTGTACTGACTTTTCACTCACAAATCGTCTCGAGCTCCAGCCACCAGTGTGGGATGGCCAATCCCACCTCATGTTGTCAGATCAGACATCTGCAGGTGTTTCCTGGTTTATATGTAGCCAAAGCATTTAGCTGGATTAATTCCTCACTGGAAAATTCGTGGCCAATCCAGTGAATAATTCAACTGCATATTTGTTTCAATCGTACTTTTTCCTTTGACCGAGATGTTACCTTTTTTGTCTTGATGACAGTCCCAAACTCTTTGCATGTGCACAACTTTCCTCTCAGTTTGAATTTTGTTACGCTCTTAGTATTTTCCCCAAGATTATTCTTGCTCCCTGTTGTCTGCAGTGAAGCCCTGCTTTTTACTCTATAGGCTTAATTGATGAGGAAAGACAGCCACTGCATGCAGACTGTCTGCTCATGTTAGTGTTGAATATCTTGTAAACCTGCAAGCACTGCAGTGCAGGGTCAGCAGTATCAGTTTGTGACAAATTACGGGGGCTTTTGGAGGATAAATTACACTGTAAATGCCTATCCATCACAGTAAAATTTTAATGATAGAGATTTAATGCTTCACTTTGAAATGAGGTATAACTTACTGGCTGGTAGGAGCTCAGGGGCGTCGGTATGTCTGCCCCAGTGGTGAAAAAAACATTTGCATGCATGTCATCTCAATGCAGAGATTCTGACTGAGTAGGTAACATAAATATTCAGTGCTCAAAAGAATATGAGCAGTGTATGATAATGTTGGCTTTTAATTTGGGCATATACTAGTAAAGCTCTGCTTTGGAATAAATTCCCAGGCCGCAACAAAACTCCAGGGTATGTAAACACACCCTGGCTAAGTGTGCAGTATGTGCAGATTGCCAGATTTCATCTGGGAGACTTAACAGAAGACCAAGGCTACTTTTTAGGTGTGAATATGAACTAACCTCCGTGATAAGACAAATGTTCTTCTTGACAGAGCGTAATAGACCCCGGGGGTGCTTGGAAGTCAGCGAATGACCAGGGTGCGGGGCAGTTTTCAGAAAGCTCTGCCACATCCACAGGAAATTTGAACAGTAATATGGATGATGTCATGGGAAGAAGCCAGAGAGAGCCGGAAAGGTAAGGCTTCGCTAAGTTATTTTCCCAGAACAGAAGAAAAATGAACCATGTAACATGCAACATTAAGGCATTTGTTTTCGCTTTGCAGGGAAAAACAGATGACCAGTCCCAAGCTGATCCTCCCAGGAGGCACAACATCCACAGACAAGGTGATGCCTGATTCTTTTATTACATCAACACTTATTAGGCCCGTTTCTGTTCTTGAGGTTTGGTTAAGTAGCCTGAGGTTGTCGCTGTCCCAGTCGGTTGAGCGATATTAATAATGAAGGCCACGGGATGTCTCCGAGATGATGTAATGTCAGCGAGGATAGTGGGGGCCTCTCCCCTAATCATAGGAGTATGTAGAAACATGTGTGCCTGTAGTCAGACTTAAAGGAATTTTTCTTTTCGTAGACTGTGTGCCAGTAGCAGAGTTTGGGGTTTATGAATCAATATCCCACTTTTTCAAAGAGCAAAACCTTTTCCAGTTCCACCAACGTGCCTTTTCTCGTCCCGATGACTAATAAAGACTTCGACTGGTCGAAGGGCCAGGTTGCCATGGTCTCCCACATCCCAAATGTTGTTAACTGCGAGCCGTCAAAGACCTGTCTGGCTTTTTAGATGAGGTTATACTGTCAAGCAGGGCTAGAATTGATATTCTCAAAAAAGCAATACAGCTTTCTGACTAGATTAGGCTGTTTGTTTGTAAACTAACATGCTAATTGTATTTGCCTGTGGTTGTGCAAAAGAAAACTGAAACATGTCTGAACATATTTTTAAGGTATTGAGGTTGTTCAGTGTTATCTTAAGGTTACTGCTAAACTATAGGTTACTACCCCCTAATTTGATGAATATGATAATGCTTTCCTTCAGGAAGGGCAGCGTGAAGGACAAGAGCAGCACCCAGAAAGTACCAGGATAGAAGAGTTCTTTGTTCAGTTGGAGCTGTTGTGGGAGGAGTTACAGAAGAACCGGGAAGGCCTGGTGGGATACCAGGATTTGGAGAAGCTCGACCAAAAGGTACAGCTTTAGGCAGAACACATCCACCTGCGCTGGCCTGCTCATGGTTCCGCACAAGCCACATCCATCCATGTCCTAAACACTCATCCCAGCTAACGGGGCACGTTCCCAGAACTTTAGCCAATGTTATGTGAAGGTCTTCTCAAAGTTGGCAGATAATGACACTATTTTGACATTTTACATTTTAACAAAAGGCCTGTTAATGTTGAAAAATATTGATTCATAATAAAATATTATTTTATAAAAGCACTTCATGCACTATACTGTGGACAAGCAATCCAACCTTGAACCCTTTGATAACCCCTCGATAACCTTTGAGTTTTAAACCAGTGTTACCTGCTGCCGTACCATGCCCTTCATTTGTTTTTATATAATTATTATTAGTGTAATAGTAGCTGTAGTGGTGGGATAATGTTCAAGAAAACTGGATACTTTGAATGTTTCCATACCCTAGTCGTAACGTTCGGTAAACGTTGCTAGAACAAAAAATAGTTAGCAGTTCAGGGCTGCACTGGGGACAGGATGCGAGTCTATCACGGGGGCATGCAGATAAAGATACCAGTTAGCCTAATCGCATGTCTTTGGACTGTGGCAGGAAACCTGCATGACACAGGGAGAACATGCAAACATGCAAAACACCGACCATGGGAGCGATTTGCGCCACCAACCCTGGGAAGTGTGTAGCAACAAATACTACCCTCTGAGCCACTGTAACATTGTAAGGGTAACAATTAAACATTTAAAAGCAAAAAGAAATGGCACTGTTCTTTGTCGTCTTCTATAAACCAATGTAAAAATAAAATGGATTCTGTTATTATTATGTTAGTATCTAATCAGTTGGAAACTAAGTTTGCCCACTCGCCTGAGGCAAGCCGTTTAGCCAAAGGTCAAGTACAAAAAATTGAACACTAGCCTCCTGACTGGTAAAAAAAATTCATGTTGTACTGCATTTTTAGTGAATTAGCCTTGTGGGCTAGTAGTAAAAATTCTTCGGTTCTACCCCTGTATGTATTTCTTCCATTTACCTATTTGCCTATCATGCAGTTTTACTGGATGACATTGGATTTATGGATAGATATAATGATCTTCCTCTATTAGACATATGTCAGAATATAAACAAACTCCTTCTCATTCTTCTTGCTCACCACCACTGTACAGGTCATCGAAGCTTTGAAAGACCTGAATGACCTGGGTTCCTGCTTGCAGTCAGTGGGCACTGCTTCAGTTCCCAGGGATCCTGTGAGTGGGACCAAACAGGAGAAACACGTCCTTGAGGGGGAGATGCCTTTGTGTGACTCTGAGATGAACCAGCCACAGAGTGAAGGACACTTGTACATGCAGCAGCTGTGGACACGGTTGCTGACAGAGGATGAGAAGTGAGTACTCTTGGAGTTGTCTTGGAGTGAGTACTCTTGGAGTTGTCTTAGAGTGAGTACTCTTGGACATATAGGGATGCTATTAAATGACAGATGATAAACTCTCAAATTTTGGAAGATGGAGTTTATCATACTGTACATTGCTGCACATTCTAGGTACCACAGCACGCTGAGAACTCTAAAGCAGCAGAACCTTGATCCAGATCATTCAGATTGGCAGATGGCCCTGGAGGAGAGCCAGGGTTTTCTTGAGAGTGGCCATGGCAAAGTTGAGCAGGTAGGCTCCAAATTACCCCAGTGCACCAGTTACAAGCAATGCTGCAGGTCTTAATGACCCAGTGAACTCCACGTGTAATCTCACTATAGCCTGTGTGGTGCAGAGGTTTAATACAGCCAGTGATATATTTCCCAATAAAGCAGAAGTGTTGCTGGAGAAATGGCTTAACATTTCGTAAAATTTCTGAATATTGCTTAATATTGCTGAATTATGTTTCCCTCGTGACATGTTCTGCAGTTGTAATATTTGTATTTTCTAGTATGATTTACCAGTCTTGGTTTCCAGTGAGATGAGCTCATGTCCTATTAATGGTTATAGTAGAAAGTCTGGGGTTTGCTGGAATACAATTAGCATGAATGACATTCAAATGTCCGGTTTGTAATGTGTTCCTGTCATGTCTTCCGCTGCGATTTGGGTTTGGCAGCACCATTGTTATGTCTGGAGGAGAGTGGTCCTTTTAGGAACAGTGTTTCGCCCGCACTGCAAAAGTTTTGGCAAGCTGGGGAAATGTTTAGCGATGGGAAGTCAGGGCATTGAGGAGCTGTTTATTCAGGTAGACTAAGGAAGCTCACAGCAGTAATACAATCTGATGGATATAGCCAATGGCAGTGTTTACCACCACTCAAACCACCCATTTACGAGTGCCCCCCTGTTGGCAATAGACAGTCACTAAGCTTGGAGAGGATGTGACTTTTTGAGTGGACTAAACAAAAATGTCTTTTGATGCAGCAGAGGTTGGTAGTCTGGCGTGAGCCTGTAAAATTAGGCCTGGAAGGGCTGCACACCAGGGCTAAAGAGGCAGATCTGAGGGTGGGCAGTGCAGCAGCAGTGGACTGATGCCAGAGATATTACATTTATTTATTTATCCAAAGCAACATACAGTTGAGAAAGTAGTTTAACAGGACCTCCCGGAAACATACAGCATGAAGAGACTAGGAGCACTGCAGTGTTCATTTTGTTGATGAAAACTAAAACGAAAAATACTCGTCAACGACATCTTTTCCGTGACGAAAATGGAACAAAAACTGATTATGTCCCGTCCCATTTGTAGGGTTCCGTACCCCCAGTATTGATCCCCCGTGATCTAGGGTTGCCCACTGCTGACCAAAGTTGGCAACCCTGCTGTGATCCTGACCCTTTCTGTTTTAAGACTATTAGTTGAATAAAACCCTGTTTCTTTGCCCCATCTCCTGCTTCCCTGTCCTTCGTCCCTTATTGCATGACAGTCTGATACTTGATAATGTTTTTGAGAGAGAACAATTGAGGTTTTTATTTATTTATTTGTTTGTTTGTTTGTTTATTTGCTTGCTCGTTTATATTATGAATGAAGGTGTGTTAATGTGCAAATATTTTGTTTGAGACTAAATTTTGTTTTATTTATATTCAATTTAATGATGAAGTTCACATAAAGTGATTTAGCAGTTGCATTTAAGAAATGTCCTGCATTTCAACAGTTAAATCTATGTCCTTAAAGACTCTGTTCAAACCTAATGGCCTGCTATAATGACAGCTTTCCAGATGTTTCCTTCAGGAATCTAGAGTGGAGAGAGGTAGACTAATCTGTGCACGTGTGTACATGCATGTGCAGACTATGACTAAACTTGTTAGTTTCATTTGACTGCATGTACTGTAGATTTCGTCAACTAAATACCTGTAATTTACATTGACTCAGACTAGAATAAAATAAACAAAAATAAAATGACTGAAACTAAGTTCCATTTTTGTCAAAGAACTGAGACTAAAACTAAATCAGATTGTGCTGTGAAAATGAACACTGGATCACAGCCCATTTTGGTTAGTGGCTGACGGTTTGTAAAGCTCAGAGACAGCAATGGATGCTGATTCAGGAAGAGGCCTCTGGTTTAAAACACACCTTGTTTGTAATGCTATTATAGCCTGTGATCCCATTATTTGAGAATTTATGAAATTGAGAAATTTAAATGAGTAACCTTTTGGTAACTGTAGAGAGCAGTGTGGCAGTTCAGTGGTTAGTACTGCAGCCTGACGTCACTGGGGCTAAGGATGGCGTCCCGAACCCAGCTCTGTCTGAGTTTCCTCCCCGTGATTCCTGGTAGTGTCCCGGTACTACAGCACCCTCTCAGACATGCAATTGAGTGAAATGGAATATCTTAATTCCCCATAGCGTGTGTGTATGTGTGTGTTTTTGTAATTATTACATTGTGGGGACCAGATTTCCCCCACAATGTGATAAAAACATGAAACTTTTTCATGCTGTGGAGTCATTCCACCCTGGATGGTATGTCATGAACTTACAATGACACAACAAGGGCAGTTACACTGGGGAACCTGCCTGTATGTCTTTGGGCTTTGGATGCAAACCAAAATACCCACAGAAAACCCAAATGATACAGGAAGCACATGCAAACTCCACACACACAGAGCGAAGGTGGGATTCGAACCCACAACAGTGCTGGGAAACAGTGCTAACCACAGTGCCTTCGATAGTAACCATAACAACAATGATAATAGTCCATTGATCAATATTTTTTATGCGTGAGCTGTCAGAGGAGTGGCTGGGGAGGCACGGTGACTCGGCTTCAGGGAACATCTGCACAAACATCTGGATCTCACTCCCATGTCTTCCTCATGTGTGATTCATGTGCATTTATTTAGTACTCAGACTACACTTTATTTAGTCTGGCTCTGTAGTCTGTCTGCATTATTTTGCGTTCATTTTGCAATTTGCTGTACTGTAGTTTGACACTGAGACAATAAGATCCATTTCCAACAGCCTTGCTGTCACCTAGTCACACCGTCCTGCAGATAAAAAGTCATTTAGTCGCCCATTGCATCCTGTTTAGGGACAGAAAACCCCACAAAACACTCATTTGTTTGGTGACAGTTTTTTTTATTATTTGATCAATCAATCAATCTGTCAGTCAATCAATCTATCAGTTCATCAGACTTTATTTATATATCACTTTTCCTGCAAACTCAATGTAACACAAAGTGCTTTACATAATAAAAACAATAACAACCCACCCCTACTGCCACCCTCACCCAAACTATGTAAAGGGACAAAAGACAAGTATAAATAAATAAGTAAATAAACAAATAGATAAATAGTAAATAATAAAAGAATAGACACGATAATAAAAACAAGAACTGATAATAAAGGAAACAGGAATGAGGTCAGTAAGTTGGAGAACAGACTTGATTCAGCATGGAAGTTTAATTGGCTTGTGCCGTCACTAAGCACTCATATCAGCAGGTGCGAGGCTTCAGGCCCCCGCAGCTTTTACCAGTGAGCTGACCTAAAATTGGCAGTTGCTGACAGCTTCATTAAATAGCCCATATTCTCTTATAATAGCTTATTTGCACTTGTTAGCAATGTTTTCGTTAATTTACGAATAAGCCAATCATTATGTCTAAAATGTATTTTCAGTTTAAAATATGCAAGAATATTGTTGTGAGATACTGCCAGTAATAAACACAAATATTTATCACTATAAACAAAGCATTTGTTCTGTTTAAGTAAAACGTATGAAATACTTTTGGATATTTTTATAAGCAGTTATTTATATTTTTATTTGGTAAACTTTTATTTAGTATTTTTGTGATGATGTTTATTATTTACTGTTAAAAGTGCTAATACATGAATAAGGTATGGTGAAAACACTGGACTTAATTGGATTTACCAAACTCCCTGTAGGTGTGAAAGGTGAGTGTGTCCTGTGATGGGTTGGTTGCCCTGCAATTCACTCCCTGTGACTTTTGTAATAGGCTCTGAACCCCTGAATAGGACAAGTGGGTGCAAAAAATGGATGGATGAGTATAAGTACAGAGGAACTCTTCAGTTTTTGCATTTCCCATATAAATACAAGTCAGGGAAACAGGGTGCCTGAGCACACGGTCAGCACCCCAGGAGCGTTTTTTGAGGGTTTAAAGGCCTTGCTCAAAGGGCCTATGGTGATGTGACTATTCTGGGAACACTGGGATTTGAACCAACAACTTTCTGATGACACACACAGAGGCCTAACCCACTGATCCACCCCTCTCACAATGAGCTTTTATGTGGATCTTTTCTCAGACCCCTCTCGTCTGGATCAACCGCAGCGTGTCCCAATCCGCCATGCTCAGCATGGACATCTTGGATGCAGAGAGGGACATGTCAATCGACCGGGAACCGGACTGTGCCCGGCTGGAGGCACTGCAGGAGCAGCAGGACAAGCTGGAGGTCAGAACCCGCTTTAGCTCTTAATACAGAATCAGGGCACTGCAGCAGGGTTTCCCAAGCTGGTCCTCAGGGGCCCACAGACAGTCCACGTTTTTGCTCTCTCCCAGCTCCCGGTAAAACACGGACTGTCTGAGGGTCCTTGAGGACCGGACTGGAAAACACTGCTCTCCATGCTGGTCGCCGGAAGCTGCAGGCTCCCCTGCAGCTGTCAGCAAATTAAGCAAGTAAATCGACACGGGTTTGTAAACAGCATCTGTCAGCACGTGCTCTTCATTAAATCTTATTGGGCTATAAAAATAAGTATATGTTTAATAAATGTTTTCCGTCTCCGCCAATTAAGAATGCAGCGTGGCCTTTCAGAATTCTCCTCTGGAAAAGAGGGTATCTTGTGGTGTCGCCTGGCGTGCCCAAGTTTTCGGAAACCACCGAAGGCTCAGTCAGTCCCTGTTTCGCTTAGCGCTCCTTCCAATTATATAAGCTGCAGCATGTGATCCCACCACACAGAGAGCGCCACGTCCTGCCAACAAAAGACCTCATTGTGCGATGGCGTGCGTGCACTTGGGATGGGGGAGTCTCAGGCTCCGGTGGTCTGCTGCATGAGTCATGTTTGGGCCGATGTTACGTGTATCCCATGCACGCACAGCTGCGCCGCCTCTGATACCGCGAGGAGCCGTGTTACCTCACCTCTCTTACTAAAATAGCATTACAGCTATGGAGCAGACACCTCATTCCTCTGAAGCTTGGGAGGTTTTTCAGGAATTTTCCCACTGAAGCCTTAGTGTTATCGATTACTACAGAAGTGTTAGAAAGGCAGGCTGTTGCAGCAGCTGAAATATTTAAGGGATCTGGTCATTATTAACGGTAGAGTACACCGGTAAAAAGGCAGAGGCCGCAATGCAGATGATAGCTTTAAGATCTGCTGGCCCCCTCATGGTAGTTTTGTTGGATTGAACCCTGTCAGGTGGATTATGAGAGCATCAGAGAGGAGCTGGTGAAAATAGGGGTGCTGGCCGAGCGATCCGAGGTCACGTGTCCCACGAGGGACCAGGTCCTGGGGGAGGAGGTTAAGGCGACTCTGGAGGCCTGGGAGGAGCTGGACAGCAGCATGGCGGAGAACCGGGGCCGTCTGCGGCAGCTGGGGCAGCTGCAGGATTTCTTTTGCAAATACCAAGCGATGATGTAAGTGATGGAGAGCAGGAATGGTGTCCTTTTACCGCCAAGCCCCAGCATCCACTGCTCTGTTATTCATAAATATCACAAGCATGCTGTTTGATGGTAGCTATTACTATTGCCATGGCAACTTCATCGAGTAAGAAGTGTAGTGTTATTATAAATATACGGAATATAAAAACATATAAAACAAAACAAATTTGAAGTGGGTCAAGTATGATGATAATTTGTATCTCATGCTTTTTTCCCCTGAATTTCTCCCTGCTTAGTTTGTGGCCCGAGTTCACACAGGGCCCTGTCTTCTCTGGGAACGCGGCGAGCTCTGGAGACGGAGGCACGGAGCTGCATATGGAGCAGAAATCCAGGCAGTTCCAGGACCTGGCTGCTGCAGGGCAGAAGCTCATTGATGAGGGACATCATCTAACAGAGATGGCAAGTTAGCGTTTCTGTCTGATGGCCGCGCCGGTTTGACTCCCCGCCATCATGGATGACTGGAGGGTTATGATTCCTCAGCAGATCCAGGAAACGACGCGGGAGCTCCGGACCATGCTGGATTGGGTCCGAGGGCACTGGAGTAACAGGAAGCAGAACTCTGAACCCGGGGGCAACACGGCTGCTCCTGTGACATCAGAGATAAAGGTACTGTGGTAACGCACAGCTATGGTGGAATGTCTATTGACTTGCCAGTGAGTACGATAAGCCTAGTCGGTGTACTTCTGATATTACTCACAGTTATAGTAAAAGAATTGGATATAATTTCCAAAACTAATAAGTATTGTAGGGGCGCTGTGGTGGTACAGTGGTTAGCACTAGGACCAGGGGTGGAGTCTCTGCCATGTATGTTCTCCCCGTGTTGTCCTGGGATTTCCTCAGAGTTCTCCAGTTTCCCCTCACAGTCTAAAAACATGCTGAGGTGAACTGGAGTTACCAAATTGGCTGTAGGTGTGCATGTGTGAGTGAATGGTGTGTGAGTGAATGGTGTGTGAGTGGCCGGTGTGTGAGTGAATGGTGTGTGAGTG